TTCTAAAAATAAAGATTAATTTGGAGTCACAGCCAATAACCAGTGACTTGGAGTTTTGATTTTAAAATAAATATGTCTGAAAACGATAAAACTGTCACAGATCCTGCACACAATCTGTGTAAGGTAAGTGTCAAAATTCTTCCATTTTGGTTCGATTGCCCAGAAATATGGTTTTTTTCAAGTTGAGGCTCAGTTTAAGATAAATGGAATTGCTTTGGAAGAAACGAAATTTAACCATTTAGTATCACAGTTAAAACTCAAATATTTTGAGAACATCTGGGATATCGTAACAAATAATTCCGCTATTAAATATACAGAATCCAAAACTAGGCTTCTGGATTTATTTAAAGATAGCGAATGTACTAGAATTTAAAAACTTCTTACAGGAATCGATTTAGGCAACTTGAAAGAAAGTCAATTATTACAAAAATTAAAATCTGTTGCAACATTGGATGTGTCCGAAAATTTAGAAATTGCCCGATTCTATGCGTAATATAATACTTGTTAGTGACGAAGAATTACACAAGTTTGTGATCATGACTGATAAAATTTCAGATATGACACCTTCTAAAGAGATTTGTGGTGTATCAACAGCTGGTAATTGCTCGAATACAGAACTGTTAATGAAAATTCAATCCCTTGAACAGAGAATTGCCGAAATGACTGTTCATATATCGAGACTACGATTTAGAAACAACTCTCAGTCCCGCAGACGATCTCACAGTACTTCTAGGAAGAGATTTAATCCTAAAGGAAAATACTGTTTTTATCATTTCCGTTTCAGTAACAAATGTCATCAGGAGAAATGTACTCAGACGTGCAGTTGGTTAACTGATAGATCATACAATCAGGGAAACAACGATGCACAGTAGAAGAGGCGGCAAGCTCTACTGCCAATAATGTTAAAGAATGTTGCCAATTCCACCTGTTTATCAGAGATAAAAATCGAAAGTACGTTTCTTAGTGGATAGCGTACAGCTATTAGCATTTTACCTGCATCAACACAAGACAAACAATCTGTGGATTTCAAGTTGTATGCAGTGAATGGTACTGAAATCGAAACATAGGGTATAAAAATGTTAACACTTGATTTGGGACCAATTTCCGTTTATAGTGGTCAAAATTAATAAAGGAATTTTAGGAGCTGATTTCTTTAACAAATTTAAATGAATAATTAATTTACATAGCGAAAAACCGATTGATGGAGTAACTCAAGTTAACTAGTGAAGTTGCTTCCATCAGTTAAAATAGTGATATCGTTAAAATAGTGATATCGTGATAACCCATTCAACAAAATTTAATACTCTTCTAAAACAATACCCAGACTTGCGAAAACCAAATTTATTTTTATCAGGTTTAAAACATGATGTTCAGCATCATATCATAGCACATGATCAACCTGTGCATTCTAAAGCAAGACAGTTGGATCCTCGAAAGCTTGAAGTAGTTAAGCAAGAGTTCCAATTCATGTTGGACAATACCATAACAAAACCCTCCAGTTCTCAATGGGCAAGTCCTCTGCATGTGGTGCTAAAAAAAGATGGTACTCTTCATCCATGTGGAGATTATAGACAGCTAAACAATAGAACAGTTCCTGATAGATATCCTATTCCTAGGATAGAGGACTTCCATCCTATTTTAAAAGGTACGAATATTTATTCCAAAATAGATTTATTTAAAGCCTACTATCAAGTGCCCATTGCCGAAGAAGACAGATGTAAAACTGCTATTATTACTCCTTCTGGATTATATGAATTTAATGTTATGAGTTTTGGTTTGAAGACCAGCAACGTTTCAAAGATTTATAAATACAGTTCTTTTTTATCTAAATTTCACTTTTCCATACTTAGATGTCATTCTGATAGCATCTAACTAGTGAAGAACAACACAGAATCCAATTGAAGCTAGTGTTTGAAAGATTAAATGCCTATGGACTCCACATTAATGTTTACAAATCCATCTTTGCACACAAGAAATATAATTCTTAGGTTATTTAATTACTCCTCAAGGATCACGACCATTACCTGAGAAAGTTCAAGCTATTGTTAATTACAAACTTCCAACAACCATTCATGAACTCAGAACATTCTTAGGCCTCATGTATTTTTATCGGTGATATTTAAAAAATGCATAAAAAAAACCAATCTCTCCTACACGACTACCTTAAAGGAGTCCGAAAAAAAGATAAATGGAAAATTCAGTGGACAGATGAAGCTAAGGAACAATTTCAGCGATGCAAAGATGATTTAGTCAATACAACACTCTTATCATTCCCAAATCATGAACTACCTCTGTCATTATATGCAGACACTTCAGACTTGGCAATTGGAGAGGTACTTCAACAATCTGAAGATAACGCATGGAAACCTGTTGCATTTTATTCCAAAAAACTAATCGAAACACAAAAGCATTACAGTACTGACGATAGGGACTAGGAATTTACCTCTCTGATACTACGATAGAGATTAGGAATTTTACCAGGAATTTACCTCTCCATCAAACACTTCAAATTTTTACTGGAAGGAAGAATATTTACAATATTCACAGACCACAAACCCATAATCTTTGCATTTAAACAAAAGCCAGAAAAAGCATCACCTCGTCAACTTAGACATTTACAATACATATCTCAATTTTCAACTGATATACAGCACATAGAAGGTCGAGACAACATTGTTGCAGATACTTTATCGAGAATTGAAGAAATTTCTTTGATCGACTATGACAAAATTGCAGATGAACATATTATGGATAAAGAATTGTAAAATTTGAAGACATCAGCAATTTCCCTGATCTTCAAGCAGTATCCGCTACCTTCTGGGAAGTCTTTGTGGTGCAAAACTTCAATGAATAATTATCAGACCATATATTCCTGACAGTTATCGCAAGAAAATATTCTATCAAATGCATAATGTGCCCATCCCGGCATTAAGTCATCTGTAAAATTCTTATTGTCTAAATTTATTTGGCCAAGTATCTGTAAAGATGTACAGCTTTGGACTCGATCTTGCATGGCTTGCCAAAAAAGTAAAATTAACAGGCATGCATAATAAAGTGTTGGTGATAAAAGATTTTGTAATGTGCATATTGACCTCATTGAATTCCTATCACCATCAAATGGGAATATTTACTGTCTAATTTGCATTGATCGGTACTCTAACTGGATGGAAGTGATTCCATTTAGCAGACAAAATTTCAGCAGACACAGTTGCTAAAGCATTTTATTCTAATTGGATTTCAAGATTTGGGATGCCATGTCACCTAGTCACAGATTGTAGACTGCAGTTTAGTTCAGAGTTGTTCAACAACCTATCAAAAATGTATGGAATAAAACTGCAACATACAACGGCTTACCACCCCCATGCAAATGGGAAGGTAGAGAGTCTCCATAGATCTCTCAAGACCGCACTTATGGCACCCAATAGCGTGGGGGCCTGGACAGAAACACTTCCAACTGTTCTTCTTGGCTTACGCACAGCTATGCAGAAAAACTCTGCATATACCATTGCTCAACTTGCAGAAGATATTACAAAATAAATATAAAGGTATTAAAAAATTATGGTAACTGTAAGTATTCATGTGCAATATTTCCCTGACTTTAGGAAGATGAGTAGGTTTTGGATTGAAATTTATTTTCACCTTTTTAATAGGAACTGCCATTATAATATTTGTTGCTAATTACTGGTTATTTGTGTGTGTTGTGACTTAAACATGTCTGACAGTAAAGAACAATCCATGAATTTAGTCAGAGTTGGAAGTGCATGTTTATATCTGTTATTGGGCACAATACAACTTTGCCCAGTTCCATCCCAATTCATACGATTCTTACATAATGCTCTGATGTGAATAACTTACATAAGTGTTGTATTTTGAATGAGAATTCTTCAGATGACAGGCAAAAGAATTCCCCTCCTTGCCCCCTACTACCACCGAGACGAGTTTCAGCTCGCAGTACATTTAAATGCCACATGCCCAAAAGACAGTATACAATTATAAACACTCAAACCTTTCGTGGGATTTGAATCCGGACCCAATTATATGGTAGAAAACAATGCTATTACTATCGATGATCAGGGCTAACTGCAAATATAAAATAGCATTAAATATTTCTAGTGGTTCCTTTTATACAAATTTTATTACATAAAGCTTTATGATGTTAAAAATTTTAATGTGAAAAATGAAAGAGGAAACATTTAAAATGTTCTATGGAAAAATGTATAACCACCTTAGGAGGTTCAAAATTATTAAATTTTTCCTGAAAAAAAATTGTTATTAAAAAAAGTAACTCATCCTGCTGGGACAGGGAAAGTCAAAATCAACTTCCTGTTCACATAAAATGTTTTGTGTAAATAAATAGTTGAATTTTTACGAAATACCATAAAATGTGAACAAATTTCATACAAGAATTTTTAACAAAAAATATATATAAGCAGATTTCTCATTATATAGATAATAAAAAATGATTGGAATAAATTTCTTACAGTGTTTACATACAGAAGTTCCAAATGTCACTTCACAAATACCAAAGACAGAAATTAAATCTGATTAAATTTAGATGAAAAATGTATTCAAATCCAGGTGGAATAAGCAGACACATTCAATATATTCAAAAGTAAATAGACTATAGCAGACTTCTGTCAACATATAAAATTGATATGTTTTAACCTAATTAAATTATTTTTATGTTGGGAAAATTTATGTATATAAACAGTTACTCAAATATAATTTGAAACTAAATTTAAATATTTTAAAATTCTTTACATATACTAGCATTTGTTTCTAAGATTTAGCACAGATATATATCTTAATTCCTTTAACCTACAGTTCAAAATAAAACACAACACAAATTGAATGGAATTAGATAACAATATTAGTATGTTTAGTCAATGCTAACAATATATTATTATAAAAATTAAACACACACACACACACACACAAAAAAAAAAAAAAAAAAAAAAAAAAAAAAAAGGCTTCCTTTACAGAAATTTTTATCTTTTTTGGTTTGGTTTGCATTTAACGACATTGTAAAAATACTTAAAAATATACATTACAATATTAACAAAAATACACTTACTTCTTCTAATATGTAAGAATGCAAGCAATTACACATCATTTTGGCTCTTATATGGGCAAATTTATTATAGAAAAGATAATATAACTCACTTAACTAATACAAGTTGTGAAAAAATCACAACTTCGTGAAATTACATATAAAAATATTAAATTCTGTATTTTGTTCACTTCTAAATAATCACCTCAGCCAATCAATAATAACCTATTTTCTCAGTGATTTTGAAAACATGGTAGTTTTTAATGCATTTTACATGTATAAATTTCTCTAGGATAATATCATGTTACATAATTATAGAATGTGAAAAAATTACAGAGCTTGAAAAAAAAAAAAAAAGTCATTGAAGCTATACCTCAGTTGCTTGAACCACAATTAATAAAATAAAAATTATTAAAATTTCAAATTTAATACACATAAAGCCACTGAAGACATCTAACAGGTACAAAAATACATAATTTTTCCATGTCATAAGGACTTAATTGACAATTTAATATGAGTAACTACAAACACTTGAAAATACTATAATGTTAAAATAACATCTGAAACTTAACAATAAGAATAAATAACAAACACTGTAACAAACAAAATTCTTTGTTATTTAATACTGTTTACAAAAATGTTTCATCACATTTTTGCATAATTATTTGAAAAACATGACTCATTTATCATTAATATTACAATCATGTGTTATAATGAATTATTTACAACATAAAAAAATAATTAGTGCACTTCAAATGAGTGATTTATAAATTGAATCTCTGACAGGAAATTTTCTTAGGAAATAAATATACATATACACATAAGGCGTTATTTATTACATCTAGATTGTGCTAAGATGCATTTTTACTTTTGAAGCAGCTTTAATACAGCTCCCTGATGTAACTACATTTTGAACAGAACTACTGATATCTTCATTCTTTGCTGATTTGCTTGCTAGGCTTATACCATAGGGTTTTGTGGAGGATTTAGCAGTTAAGGCCACTTTATCAGAAGCATTTCCTCGTTCATAATCTAGACGCTCTATTCCAGATATTTTATTGCTCTTTGGAGAATTACGAGGTGAATTTTTATGTTTATTTTCATTATTTACATGAAACTTTTGCTCACTATAGCAATTTGAACACATATAATGCATTTTTGCCATACCATATAAATTGCAACCAGGTACAACACACTGTGAAAGATCTGGGTGGTTCTCATGTTTGACATCTGTACCATAACCTCCTTCATTCTGGTATTTCTTTTCCTTCTCTTTCAAGAAACGACATCTTGCTGAGTTCAAGTAATTACGAATCATTTCTTCTTGATATTCATGTCTATTATCAGTATGAATAACAGCTGCAATAATACTATCAGGTGTACCCACTATTCCACTTGCTGATAATCTAATGGATAATGCAGGATCTTTAACTTTTTTGTTTTTTAAAGAATCCACAGATTTGCTCTCAGGTGTTCCCCTAAAAGAACCTGCTCTTCGAGTAAAGCTGCCAAAATTTTTCTTTATTTTTTTGCTCATTGTTCTACCAATACTACCAAACTGTTTAGCTACACTTTGTAACTGTCTGCTAGCCTTACTTCTTTGTACAGATAACAGTCCTCCTGGACTGGAGCTACCAGATCCCCTATCAACAATACTATCATCTGAATCAAAGCTACCAGCTGCAGAACTACGGTCTATGTCAGTGCTATTGGACATAGAATCTTCTTCCTGAAAATCTACAGAATCTTGCTTCGGCATACCAAAAACAGGAAGATCAATCACATCCAGATATTCATTCAATAAACCAAGTTTATCTTTGTCAGTTAGAGTTAATTTAGAGATTATGATGGGGTCATTTTCATCTTGACCCCACCTGACCTCTACTCCTGGATCAACAGCAAACTGAATCGGCAGCAACTTGTGATCAGGATCAATTAAGGGAATTGCAGCTAGAATAATATTAAAGAGCATTTTAAAATTTCAGTTACAAAGTTATTTTTAAAAAAAATATATTACAGTGAAAAGTCGTTAATTCGGACACCCATAATCCGGACCTCAAAGCTAAAAACTTTCTGAACATGCGCCGCGTTGACACATGCGCATATAGGCGTTTACGCGTGCGTGTAAGACCTTTACGACTGCGCATATGCGTGCCCACAAGCACAGAATACGTTTTCGCGTGCGCGTTTAATGTATAACGGACGGTATAAGCTAAAATTATCTAATTATCTATTTCAGTTAATGTTGATGATTGCGTTGTTCCTTAATCTTCGAATTGGATGCGGCTTATTATTTTTTGCAGACTGTAAGAGCAATTTTATAAAAGTAAACTTGAACTTTTGATTATGTCAAATAGAATTTCCGATGCTAGGGCTCCCAAAGGGTCTACAAAGCGAAAGTATGTTTCGATGTCCGTCAAACAAAAAGTGGAATTGCTGCAAAATATATAAAGACATGAAGAAGGTGACAGAGAGGTTAGTGAAAACAAAAAAATTTCGATTGACAAGTTAGTCGGTATTCTCGGAACAGCAATTACGGGACTTGAACAGCGGAACTTTGTAACTGAACAAGAAATTATGTCTGTTTATAGAATTAAAGAGAAAGTATTATCACATAAAACGAAGCAACTTAAACAACTTACATTGAAAGAAATGTTTAATAAAGTAAACAAATAAATATTAAGCTTTTCTTTTTTTGTAAATTTTGATACCCTTTAGATCATAATTGTTCTTTATTTCATAAATTACGGTTTCATATTTTTAATTTTAGAATTTCTGCATGCCATCTTACGACATTTAAACTGATGATCTATAATCCGGAATCGCCGAAGTCCCGACGAGTCCGGACTAACGACTTTTGACTGTATTTAGTTTAGAGAACAGTCAAAACTCAGTTTAATATACTCACAGAATCCCACTTCATTAAATTAAAATTATGTTATGTTTTAGTTTGAAAGATATTTAAGAAAATGATACATCATTTACAATCAAGGTATCATGATTTTAATCTGGTTAAATAAGCCATATACAGTCAAAAGTCGTTAATCCGGACTCGTCGGGACTTCGGTGATTCTGGATTATCGATTTTTCCGGACTATAGATCATCAGTTTAAATCTGGTAAAATGGCATGCAGAAATTATAAAATTAAAAATATGAAACCGCAATTTACGAAATAAAGAACAATTATGATCTAAAGGGTATCAAAATTTACAAAAAAAGAAAAGCTTAATATTTATTTGTTTACTTTATTAAACATTTCTTTCAATGTAAGTTGTTTAAGTTGCTTCGTTTTTTATGTGATAATACATTCTCTTTAATTCCATAAACAGACATAATTTCTTGTTCAGTTACAAAGTTCTGCTGTTCAAGTCCTATAATTGCTGTGTCGAGAATACCGACTAATTTGTCAATCGAAATTTTTTCGTTTTCAATAACCTCTGTCACTTTCTTCGCTATCGGAAGCGAATTATAATGATGAGGCATTTGATTTAAATCATATCAAAGACAGAGTACAACGAGAGGAAATACCACATTTAGTAAGCAATTATAAACCAAATAAAATAAAAACATCTGCCCTTAAGATAAGGATAGTGTTGACAGATCAACTTCCAATTCATTGCGCTCCCTGGCATTAAAGATAAACAAAGTTTAGATAAACAAACGTTAAAGTTTAGATAAACAAAGGATATGACTTTATCCATTTTTTGCAGCAATTCCACTTTTTGTTTAATGGACTCCAAAAGATACTTTCGCTTTGTATATCCTTTACATATTAGTAAATATATATAGGAAATTCTATTTGAAATAATCGAAAGTTCAAGCTTACTTTTATAAAATTGCTCTAACAGTCTGCAAAAAATAATAAGTCGGATCCAATTCGAAGATTAAGGAACAACGCAATCTGCAACATTAACTGAAATAGATAATTAGATAATTTTAGCTTAGCTTATCCCCTCCGTTATACATTAAACGCGCATTTGTAAACGTATCTTGCACACGCGCACACGCAAATTCGCAGGCGTAAAGGTCTTACGCGCATGCGTCAACGCGATGCATACGCAGAAAGTTTGTAGCTTTGAGGTCCGGATTATAGATCATTCCGAATTATGGGTGTCTGAATTAACGACTTTTGATTGTATTTGTTTTATTTAAACAAGTTAAAAAAAACTTATACAAACTACTGGTGAGTATCATTACCCCCTTTCTTTTAAATAACAGGCATTTTTTGCAGCACTGTTTACAATCTTTTGCATTTTAAATATAAGTGATATCTTTCCATTACACATCATATTTTAATGTATATGTACATCTATTACACCAAATATATTAAACTTAATTTATGTAAAGAAAAATATATTAAATTTGTTTATTTGAAAAACTACTACTATCATACTATATTTCACATTTTTTAAAGAGTGAAAAACATCTGGCATATTGAATTCAGACTGGAAACCTAGCAGTATTGCAGCAAATGCCTTAATTACTTCACCTACCAAAGATCTGGTAATTCTGTTTCATTTATATAGCCATCCCTAACCTTATCCACTTTTTTTGCTCTGATTTGAAAGATGCATAATACCTGCAATCAATTAGACTTATTAAGTCTCATTACCTAAAAAACCACTTAACTCAGCAATTTATTTCACGACTCTGTGTCATTCTTTACATCATATTGAAAAGAATATACAATCTAACATCAATAATGCCATTTTCTTATTAGTGCAATCATATGTGATGGATCAAAATTTTAACATTTCACTTAGGATGTTATAAGATTGTGATTTTCTATGAGAAATTTACAAATTTAATTATGCAATAAAAAATTTGGTACAGTCAAAAGTCGTTAATCCGGACTCGTCGGGACTTCGGCGATTCTGGATTACCGATTTTTCTGGATTATAGATTATCAGTTTAAACCTGGTAAGATGGCATGCAGAAATTATAAAATAAAAATATGAAACTGTAATTTATGAAATAAAGAACAATTATGATCTAAAGGGTATCAAAATTTACAAAAAAAAAAAAAAAAAAAAAAAAAAAAAAAAAAAAAAAACTTAATATTTATTTGTTTACTTCATTAAGCATTTCTTTCAATGTAAGTTGTTTAAGTTGCTTCGTTTTATGTCATAATACCTTCTCTTTAATTCTATAAACAGACATAATTTCTGGTTCAGTTACAAAGTTCTGCTGTTCAAGTTCCTTAATTGTGGTGTCGAGAATACCAACTAATTTGTCAATCGAAATTTTTTCGTTTTCAATAACCTCTGTGTCACTTTCTTCACTATCGGAAGCGAATTATAATGACAAGGAGTTTGATTTAAATCATATAAAAAACGGAGTACATCGAGATGAAATACTACATTTAGTAAGGAATTATAAGCCAAATAAAATAAAAACATCTGCCCTGAAGATTAAGGATAGTGCTGACAGATCAATTTCCAAAAGTACAGTAAAAACTCAGGAAATGCTGAATTCCGGATACGTGAAAATGTCAGATAGTTGTGTATAAAAAATGGAATTCATGTCAGAAAAGCCATGTAAATGGGAATTCTTAAAATTAAAAACTTAAAACTCTTAAAATTAAAAAACCCACTCTTAAAATTAAAAAAAGGCCATCTTATTGATTACAAGCTTATATATAAAATTATATAAGATTTTTAAAAAATGTATTTTGAAGGTTCTAAATAAGAATGTAATCATGAAAGTATATGACCCGATTATAAAATCTTTCTGAATGCAAAAGTTGGCAAAAATATTGCCAAGATCATTCTTTATTTAGTTAGATAATAAAGAAATACAAATTATGGATATAGCACATACAGAATTTAAATCACTTACCACAGTTTTTCTCATTAGATTTCTATTATTTATCTGTTTCCAAAGTTGCATATCTATACCATATTGTGGCTTTATTTTATGCCTGGATCTTACAATTTTGAAAATACCCCACTTTATGCTGTCCCAAATATTATTTATTTATTTATTTTTTTTTTTCAAAATTCAAGAAAACGTAAAACTTACAACCTTTTTTTAAAAATTAACACAGCTTATAAAAATTAATTAAATAAAAACTAACATTAAATAAAAATAAATTAAATAAAAACTAACTTCTTAATGACCGAGTTGTGATGGCATACTTATCCATTGCTGGTGCTGAATCGCACCAAAATTGACAAAAAGGATATACATATTAATAGCATTATCGGGTCTATAATGGCATTATAAATCACTACTTTACTAGTTTTTTCAAAGAAAAAAAGCTTCTAAAACATTCTAGTTACTTCTAAACATACTAGTTAGCTTTCTGGTTTCTTACATTTTGCATTACATCTGGTTAGTCGTCGGATAGTCAGGTTTTTACTGTAGCATTTAAGAAGTGGAAGCAGAAAACCAATCTTTACATATTTGAAATTTTCATTGGATACTTAGCAAATGAGAGGCATTATTATCAACGAATAATATGCGATCTATAACTCTTAGTTAGTCATGTATGGTATCACTAAACTGGTTGTTTTTTTTAATAATTTTAGTAGTCTACAGTACATTAGTATTAATACTGTCCACAAGGTTAACAAAGTTCTAGTCAATCTTACAGATAGCACCAATACCCAAATAACTGAACCATGCTGAAGGATTTTGTAACTAACGTTTCTATGCAACATGCAGAATGCTTCCACATTATCTCACAGAAACAGATTGTAGATCTATTAATAAAAGTGATAACTATTTTTTTACCATGCTGTGCAGCATTCATATGAATGTATATGGTTGAATGATTCATTAAAAGTGGCTCTTTTAAGGGTCTTTCCTTATTTTGTTGTGCAAAATTGGAAGATCTTACAATGTAATGGAATTAAAAATTTAATAGGTTATTAAACTGAATGATGGAATCATTTTCATTATGTATTCTTAATCATTTATATTCATTTTCATATTTAAAAATAGTGTTCTACAGGTGCTATCTAAGAGATAAAGAGCTAAAAGCAGTAAGTCACATACTATATCATTACTAATTTTATAGTTCTGTGCTGCCATTACATTTACTAACTATAATATTAACTTATTTAAAAATTCAGATGTTATCCACAATTCATTCTCGAAATCATAATAAACATTTCAATTTTTACTGTTTGAGATGGGGAATAATTTCATTTCTTTTTTTAAACTTCCCATTATATTTGCACACAATATGACAGTTACATTTACTCTATTGTGCTTATATCCACAGTATTTTTAATTACTGAATGATGACATTTTTTATGTAAAACATTGAAAAAAAACAATTTGGTTTCATCCACACTGAAGATATTTTGACTCAGATTCCATACAATTTTGGTTTATGAATTTTCAAAATTTACTCCCGTTTCTATCCCTTAAATCCTATTTTTCAAAACAAAAAAATGCAAAATGTTGTGGGGAAATACAGCACAATTTTCAAATAACTTCATCAAATACAGAATGGACTTTGCTACATACTGTTTCTTCATCTGCCCACAGTATCACAAAATCACAAGAATGAATATGATATAATACCACATAATAATTAATAATAAGACAATGAGAAAAATTAATTATAAAAAGGGTAAAAGGGCTGTTTCTCCTGTCTATTAGTGTTTATTTCAGATGGAAACTGCTTGAAAACCTCTTTAATGGAATCAAAATAATTCCTCCCACTTGTTTCTTGCTTCGATTTCCAAATAATTTCTGACAGATAGGATGTTATTACAGTCAAAAGTCGTTAATTCAGACACCCATAATCCGGACCTCAAAGCTACAAACTTTCTGTGCATGCGTCGCGTTGACGCAAGCGCGTAAGACTTTTATGGCTGCGCATGCTCATAATACGTTTACGCATGCACGTTTAATGTATAACGGATGGTATAAGCTAAAATTATCTATTTCAGTTAATGTCGCAGATTGCATTGTTCCTTAATATTTGAATTGGATCCGGCTTATTATTTTTTGCAGACTGTTAGAGCAATTTTATAAAAGTAAGCTTGAACTTTCGATTATGTCAAATAGAATTTCCGATGCTGGAGCTCCCAAAGGATTTACAAAGTGAAAGCATGTTTCGATGTCCATCAAACAAAAATTGGAATTGCTGCAAAAAATTGATAAAGCCATATCCTTTGTTTCTCTAACCATTCCGAAATCTGCTTATCAATTTTATGCTGCTCTGCGGGAGGGGGGGGGACGTCGCAGCGTGCAATGAACTGGAAGTTGATCTGTCAGCACTATCCTTATCTTCAGGGCAGATGTTTTTATTTTATTCAGCTTATAATTCCTCACTAAATGTAGTATTTCATTTCGATGTACTCCGTCTTTGATATGATTTAAATCAAACTCCTCATCATTATAATTCGTTTCCGATAGCGAAGAAAGTGACAGAGGTTATTGAAAACGAAAAAATTTCGAATGACAAATTAGTCGGTATTCTTGACACAGCAATTATAGGACTTGAACAGTGGAACTTTGTAACTGAACAAGAAATTATATCTGTTTATAGAATTAAAGAGAAGGTATTATCACATAAAAAATGAAAACAATTTACATTGAAAGAAATGTTTAATAAAGTAAACAAATAAAATATTAAGCTTTTTTTTTTTTTTGTAAATTTTGATACCCTTTAGATCATAATTGTTCTTTATTTCATAAATTACGGTTTCATATTTTTAATTTTATAATTTCTGCATGCCATCTTACCAGATTTAAACTGATGATCCATAATCTGGAAAAATCGATAATCCGGAATTGCCGAAGTCCCAACGAGTTCGGATTAACGACTTTTGACTGTATATCATATTATTTGTTCACTGTTATCATTTGTTCATTGTTATTGTATCATATCATTTGTTAGTTCTTATATTATATCATTTATTCTTATGATTTTATGATATTGCAGGCAGATAAAGGAAAACCACCCTTTGCTATCTGGAGATCAAAGAATTTTTTGAAGATTCATCAGGAGAATGTACTTTTACAAAATGTATCATACAGCATGACTGAAAATCATAACTAAAGATTGGCCATAGTTTAACTCCTCAGATTATTTACCATAATGCAAAATAAAAATACAATATTTAAACTAAATCCAAAAGAAACCATCATCATAATATAATAAACACTAAATATCTTCAGAATGATTCCCGAACGCTGACATAGCTCAATTTTATTTCTTACTATTGGACATGAAAAGAATTTGCTATTGAAGTTTCATACACTATACGAGGTACTGCAAATAGTCTGATAAAATATTTATACAGAGCACAATAATCCATGATTACAGAACACGCACAGCAATTTTTAACGATTACAAACTCTTACAAACATAAGTAATGCAATTAAAATTAGCATTTTACAGAAACTGAAAGAAAGCTAACATATTAATGAACAAAAGTAAATCATTTACCAGGAGGGTGAGGAGTTTTGTCAGCATATGCTTCTTTCTCCATAGCAACAAGTGCAGAAAAATGTGCAGCGTCATAAGTTAAACATAATGGAGATCGAAGGCATTCGGCTGGTGGGCACTCTAAAGGAAGATATATGCCACCAAATGGAATTGGAGCAAAAGGTTCACCAGTTACATCTTTCAGAACAGTATCAGCTATGACAATTATGGGCCGCCGTAAAACATGAGCTAAAGCCAGAACATGAAATTCCTCCAAGCTTTCATATATGTCAGGCTGAATTTCTTCTTCTGGTACTGCCAGCAAGGGACTAAAATAAGAATATATTTGTTACAGAAATAGCAATAAAGGTAATAAGAAAATAATTTTGGGCATCAGATATTTGTCTCTAAAGAAGGAATAATATGAAATTATTAAGCTTAATTATGAAAATTAACATAGGATTTCATTATTACTATATTTAAGTCAATAAAGTAATTCAAGATAAATTTTAGGTACTAACATATTAAAGGAACTACCCAGACGAATTTGGAGGTTTTTTACATATAAAAGTGTAAAAATTACTTCTCGGTACAAGTTAGTGATTTTTGCAGAACTTATAAGGAATTTCCAAACTATCATTACTAATTGTAAATACTGTATACTATACTGATAAAGAAAGTATAGTAGGATTATACTATACCGAAAAAGAAACAAAGAAATATTTAGAATTTTGACAAAACTGGTCTGTAATTTTTTTAAGTTACTTTCCCCCCATCCCCATGTACACAGAGATCAGTTTTCTCTTAAGAAACATGAGAGAATTGCATAAACCCAGCATTGTGCATAACTTCGGCATTGCTAACAGACTATCAATCAAACACACCTCATCAGCATTTCCCTTTAGCGATTTTGCAGTAAAATACTTTATTTCTGCACATATTTTATTGAAAATTCTTCAAATGGTAGCAAATTCCACAAGTGAACATTTTAAAACTGAGTTTAATGCTAAAAATATAACAAAAAGAAAGCATGCCAAAATGGCAACATTGCTTGACTGAAAAAAAGTCACGAATATGGCTGCCTGAAAAATATTTATACAAATGGTTGCCTGAATTTGGCACACTTTGATAATTTGGCAACTTCTGTTAAAGTGGTTACAATACCAGTACCAATATTTAACAAGATTTTCTGTTATGGAAACTGGAAGGAGGGAGATAATCTTTTTAATGTAATCAGTTTTGAAAAAAACCAAAATGATAAGCATTTGTAATGTTTTCAAAAATTAAGAGTACAAACACTTTTTTTAGAGGCAGATCCAGGGCTTTTCCACCCCTCTTACTCAACCACCAAACTACTTGACGTTTGGTTTGCTAGTATTTTTAAGTGCCTCCATGCTTCACTGTAAACTTACAAACATACATGTCTTCTCGGTTTCAAACCTGGGAAATTGACTCTTTCTTCATTCATAGTCTCCTAACATTTATGTTTTTAATGATATGTTACACATACAGTGATAGCCAAAATTGTGGACACTTTTGGAAATTTTTATGTTTTTGAACTTTGTATGCTTATAGAAAACGTCACGTTTCACAAAATGCAAGATGGAAGCAGATAAAATGAAAAGTTAATGACGTTAAAAGACAATCTTGGAATGACTTACTAAATAGAACAGATGGAATGAGAGTTTATAGATTTTGAATACATTAAACAATAGGAAGATGATTAAGCTAAACCACTCTACGAGGACTGGACACATGGTGCTAACAGATTCTATAGGCATAGGCACAGAAATTCAATAAACACTTCCTGAATATATATACCCACAAGACCACAGAGTAATGAAAATGGCAATGAAAATGGCAAATGAGCAGATAATGCCCTAACTGTAGCCCAAGAGAGGGTCTTTAATGATAACTTCCCTATAGAAGAATTTAAATGGGCTGTAAAAAACTTTAAAGGTGAAGAGGCAATCAGGTCCAGACAGTATATTTCCAGAGTTTTTAAAACATCTGGGACTTATGGCTCCAAACACTCTTTTGTCAATCAACAATATATTTTGGAACAGCAAAATTAATATTCCATCTGGGTGGGTCAAAGCTATGGTTACACCTATCCATAAAAAAGATAAACTTTGGATTTGGACGCATGTAGACCTATATCTAAGATTTCAATAGTGGCAAACGTTTGAACAAATGCTGACTACTGGACTGAAATTTTTTCTGGAAACTACTGAAATTATAGAGTAAGTGCAGGCTGGTTTTAGAAATGATATGTCCACTTTTATTTTGAAATTTGTTCATGCCGTAAAATCAGGTTTTTAATTCTAAGAAAAGCTCCTTAGCAGTGTTTGTGGACTTTTCAAGGGGCAAATGATAATATTTGTAGGAAAAAAAAAGAAAACTCCTAAGCAAATTAGCAGAACAAGGAATAGAAGGAAAAATGCTGGACTTGATTGTACTCAGAAATGGGTTAAGACTGTTACGAAATGTACAGGCGCGGTGAAATGGCTTCCCCACAAAGCAGTTTTAGGGTTGCCTTATTTGGCTAGAAATTGCCCATTTGGCGACAAAATTGGTGATATACCATGGACAGTTGGAGAACCTTCTGGAACGAATTCTTACCGGTTTAGCCCAGAATGTTCTCGAGCACAGGCCCAAAGCTACATAAACCCTGCTGGTCCACAGTCTGTCAATGTGTGTGTGTGTCTCTCTCATCGAGTGAGTGTGTCTCGTCTAGCGAGTCAATCCCTACGGAGGCTATCGCGTTGACAGCCGGCGAACGAGTGCTGAGTGGGTCGTAGAGTGCACCGAAAGAGTCTCGAGAGAATCGTTATGCACTCCAAATCTACAAACCCTGTATGAACATGAAGGAAGAAAATAATGTAACAACTGGTGTCAGAAAAGAAAAGAAAAATGCAACAAGACTATTTGGAACAATAAAGAATCCAAATACAGGCAGTCTAAGATTGGCCTTCTACAGGGTTCAATGAGTAGCCCCATACTCTTCAACATTTATGTCAATGATCTCGTCAAGAGATTGAAAGATGTTAGGGATATACAATTGAGCATGTTTGCTGATGACCTAGTGATATGGAAGGAAACTATTAACTGTCAAAACTATCAAAGACAGAAACAGCAACTTGAGAGTAATATGAATAAAGCTATGAAAAGTCTTCAATCTTGGGCCATGATTGCATAAATTAATTACAGTATCAATTTTTAACTTTGAGATACATTATACCTGATTAATATTGGCTAAATAAAGTGTTTCGATACTTCATCATCAAGTGTCGTCATTATTTACTCCAAATCTACGAAACCCATATGAACGTGAAGGAAGAAAATAACGTAACAAATGGTGTCAGAAGTGGGATTTGTGAGTGAATGCCAGTGACCTGCCTGCAGAGGAAAGCCATGGTGGAAGAAATGAAGACTTTGATAGGCATTTTAGCCAAGATAAAAGCCGGATATGTTATGATGAAGGCTGAAATGAAAGCTGAGATAAAAGCCGGATATGATGAGATCAAAGCTGGATATAAAGAGATGATAGCTGAGATCAAAGCTGGATTGAAAGAGATGAAAGTAGGACTGGAAGATAAGAAAGCCCGGTGAGAAGAAATAAATGCCGGCCAAGAAAAGGTGCAAGAGCAACTCTAACAGGTGAAAGTCAAGCTTCCGGAAGAAACTGGAGCCATTAAAGAAGATGCAGAAATAAGAGAAGTGGCATCTGAAGAATCAAAGGATGAAGAAATGAACGAAGTAGCTACTCAACTATCCGAGAAAGATCAAGAAATGAAGGATGAAACATCTAACGGGATTAAAGAAAAAGAACGAAAACATGAAGAAATAAAAGACGCGAAAGAAGCTTTTGATTCTCTAGTGCCTGAAGGGGAAGTGGGAGAAAGTGAAATTGCGACTATTAAGCTTGCCGAAACTGATAGTGAAATTACGAAGTTGCAGTTAGAAAGAATTGAACCATCTGAAAATGCATGTGATGCAGAGATGGAAGAAGCTGACATACAGCTTATGCAGGGTGCACCTGTATTGCAAAAAGATTCTCCCATTTCACAAACTGAGTATGTGTCTCCTAATACAAGTTGTACAGACACGAACTTGATTTTAAGTGAGGATACTTGTGAAGAATCAGATACCATTCATGACTCTAATGTAAACATCAGAAATGGTTTTCAGAAAATAGGGGTAAATCAGCATGTACCAGCTGCTGAAAATACCGATGAACTGTATGCATGCTGCAAATGAACTAAAAAGTGGTGAACAAACTGTTTCGGATTTTCCCGTGGATGAAAACCCTGAAAGAACTGAATCTTCAGACTGTGATATGCAAAACATAAATGTGTCTAAGAACTGCAGTGGAAAAGTATTTGACCCAGATATAACTTAATGAAAAGATTGAGACTGAAATTCATTTTTAACTTTAATGTATATCATTTAAAATTGTTATGTGTTTAGTTTGTGTATGTAACTTGTACATAGTGTAAATATTTGTTTCTTTAGTTATGTTATTTATTTATAACTTATGTTTGTTTCATTAGGTTTTGTTTGTATAGAATTAGGCTCCCAAGGACTGCACGTGGGGCAGTGTTACAAAATGTACAGGCGCAGCGAAATGTTCTCCCCCACAAAGCAGTTTTAGGGTTGCCATAAAGTAGCAAAGAGGGCAGGGTTGCCACATTTGGCGACATAATTGGCGATATACCATGGACGGTTGGAGAACCTTCTGAAACGAATTCTTAAACACAGGCCCAAAGCTATATAAACCCTGCTGGTCCGCAGTCACTCAGTGTGTGTGTGCGTCTCTCATTGAGTGAGTGTGTCTCGTCTAGCGAGTCAATCCCTGCGGAGACGATCGTGTTGACAGCCGTCCAGCGAGTGCACCAAAAGAGTCTCGTAGAGTATCTCGGTTAGTGCATCGTCGAGAGAGCGTGTTGAGCTCCGGAAACGACTGAACCGAGAGTCAGGAGCTGTGCTCTGTGTGTCGTCGAGTGCATCACGAGTTGTAGCGTGGAGTCTCGAGAGTACGTGGAGTTCCGAGAACGACCAAGCAAAGTCGGGAGCTGTACTCCGGAAAGCAGAGCCTGGTGCTTTGCAGGAAGCTGTCTCCACCGTTATTGCCTGACAGTGTGAAGGCTGTGTCGCTGATTGTTCCAGCGTGTTTATAGTAGATCTTCACCAACTGTAAAAGTGTTTTGGAGCTGTCCTGATTGATATTGGTAAATAAAGTGTGTTTTGATACTTCATTAAGTGTCATCGTTATTCACTTCAAATCTACGAACCCCGTACGAACGTGAAGGAAGAAAATTACTGGTGTCAAAGGAAAAAAAAACGCAACAAGATTATTTGGAACAATAAAGAATCCAAATACAGGCAGTCTAAGATCGGCCTTCTACAGGGTTCAATGAGTAGCCCCATACTCTTCAACATTTATGTCAATGATCTCGTCAAGAGATTGAAAGATGTTAAGGATATACAATTGAGCATGTTTGCTGATGACCTAGTGATATGGACGGAAACTAGTTACTGTCGAAACTATCAAAGACAGAAACAGCAACTTGAGAGTCATATGAATAAAGCTATGAAAAGTCTTCAATCTTGGGCCATGATTGCATATATTAATTACATGGAGTGTCAATTTTTAACTTTGAGATACATTGTACCTGGCTTTGATTTGCATTTGGATAACATAGAACTAAATAAAAGTAACAGGACAAAATACCTCAGGGTTATAAGAAACAGCAAGTTAAATTTTTTGAAGGATATCAGACACACTGTGATTAGATTGGTTATCTTAAAGAGATGGGCCAGAGCAAAATGGGGCTGCACCCAGGACATTCTAAATCTCACTTACAGTTCTTAAATATAATGGTGAAATTTTGGTTTTAGCTCCACCACATGAGCAGTAGTGTCAACTCTGATAACAGCTTTACAATCCTCTACTTCAAACCTTCCAATTGTTGTTAAGATAAAGAAAAAGGCAGTTTATACAGTTGCTACACTGAAAGACTGAGAGCAAATTGGATGCAAAATACACAAGTGGGCATCCTCAGACCCAGACTTCTTCAGTCGAGATTAGTGAAAGCCTTTTGGATGATTTAAAGCTAACTATTCCTGTTGAAAATACGTATATACTCGTTGACGCACTGGAGTTTTGGGAAATACATTGTAATTTTAAACTGAATGAAAACAGAAAAAAAGACACACTAGGTAATATTCTAAAAACAAATATCTTGTCACTATTGAACAATAACTATCCTGAACCAGTTTTTATTTATCAAGCCAAATATCTCAGCAGAATAGGCATATCGACTAAGAGTCAATGCCCTATTTATAAAACAGACACTGAACAATAGCATTTGCTCATCTGTCCAGCCTTTGGCCCTAAGTTACAACATAGTAGTGATGTTCTCCTGCTCCTGGATGGTCGGGGATCTCATGTCCTGAGCACACGGTTGCTTCTTCTCTAATCACTGAAGATTTTAATTATGCAATTTTTATGTCTTAATTTATCGGTATCGTAAAAACTTGAATTTTAATGTTGTCATTTTAAATGTTTTTAATAGTTTGGAGTTCTCAATTTTGAATTTAATGTTTTTTTGGCGAGTGGCCTGATGTAAATAGATTGATTTTCAAATAAAGTCATAAGGGACAACAACATTTGATAAATTATCAGCTTTCAATTTGATGTAATAGCTTATTCAGAGTCTCAAATAACTTTTACAAAATACATGGCTATCTAAAGATAGTAAGATAGACTTCATATAAATAACATAAATTTACTCTTTTACAATAGTTTATATGCTAATGCGGCATTTTCACAATAAATTAATTAAAAAAATTCACAATACAATAACAGATCAATACAACTTATTCACATATGCTATTTTGTAACAAACATTGCAGAGTTTTTTTAGGGGGGGGGAACGATTGTAAAAGCAAATACCACATGTAAAAAAAATTATTAAATTACAGTTTAAAAAAATTAAAAACTTGCAGATTTCAAAATTTTATAAAAAATCATTATCAATATAATATTATATTTTTTCAATATACACAAAATTTTTATTTATCAAGCAATATAAAATTCCAATAAATATTGAAATAAAGAAATTAGTTTTTACATATTATGAAATGCAACATTAGCAAGGAATGGGTTAATGAGAACTTACAATTTCTAGATTAAACACAATTCTACAGAATAAAATGCACAAAATAAAAAAAGTTTTCTATTTGCACAAACTCTGTCATTGGTAGTTACCTAAAAAATGTTACATTTTAATATTTACACAACGAAATGCTCTGCTATAATTAAACATAGATAAATTTAATTTTCATTCTTTCGATGCAAATTAATGTTAAAAAAATCTTTCAGTCACTGGAAGTAGCAAATGCAATGTGGAAACAAATTTTTACCCTTTACTTGAACTTTCAGTAAAATTCTTTTTTTGGCACGGAAGCAGACGTGGTTCAGTAGATGCCATTTTTAGTAAAGACTGCCATTCCTTTTCCCATTCTTCCTCACAATAGACTAGGCCAGCCTAAATGAAATGAATATAATTAAATGGAAAATAATCAAGAAAAGAAAAACAAATATTAAGAACAAAAATTTGAAATTAAAAAAACAGTCCAATTTCGGGAGGGGTGAACTAAGACCAATCTGATAGAATACATCGTCAATTTTTACAGGCACTTTACTTTTTCTATGTATAATAACACTTTAAAAATTAAAATACAGCTGTCCTCAATGTGTAAAAATAGGGGTTCTTTATAATTATATATATATAATATGTGTCTGCACGATAAATATATAAAAGATAAATTATAAATTAAATTAGCAATAGCTCCTTAATGCTTAATTTGGTAGTTCCTCTCTTTATTCTAAAAACATAGATCTCTTTCTGCACTGCATTCTACAGTTCGGCCTAGCTTGACTGTTGCCTGCTGCTTTCTTCTTACTGCAAAGCTATCAAAAATGTACATATATTGAAAGAGGCACAAGCCAAGTTTTTTGTGGCCACAACATGTTTACTGAAATAAAAATGAAGATTTAATCTGCATTGGCTGCAAGTTTTCTATTTGTTATGGATCAACATTCTACGCAATCAAAATTCTTGCTGCTCATTATGTCCAAATAAGGAAATTTTAAAGCTGCCAAAGAATTTCACACTCATGTAGCCTGTGTGGACAGATATATCATCAAAGCTATTTCTGGGCACATAGATTTTATTTAGAAGTGAAAATTTTAAAGGCTAAAATTATTTTAAATGGAAGAATGCAAGGTGAATTTAATCACAGACATTAAATAAATTTAGGGATGAAATGAAGAAGAAAGAAGAGGAGAAATCCTCTGTGAACTTGCTTGAAGGAAAGAGACACCCACCTTCCTTCACTGGTATTCAAAGCATACAGTCATTTACCGTTGAGTAATACGTACTTAGGTTAGTTTGGAGGTTTAAAAAAATAATAATAATGTCATAAATATAAGTATAAATGCCCATATTTTCTTTTATACAATACTTCAGAGTATAACAGTGTAAGATGTTACCTTTTTTAAAATTATATTAATAAAATGCTATTACTATCTGTATGCTCAAAATAATTTTAAATTGAATGAAACATTTCCAAAAAAATTGTTTAAATTATGTTAGAAAGAACTTTTAATGCAATCTAATTTTATTTAATTAACAAATGACAAAACCAAAATCATGAATTTTCTATTAATATTAAAATCATTTATTGTTTCTTTTTTATTTACAAAAGCTTGTTTTGAAACATGTTCTAAAATCTAAGAGTTTTTTTGGGGGAGGGGGCTTTCTACAAAATTTTACTCATATTGGTATATTGGGAGACTAATTCATGCAGAGAAAATTCTTCATTACAAAGCCAAGGAAAAATTTTTGAAATCGACACTAATTATATGTTAACTTTTCTAAATTTAATTTGCTCTCATTTAGGAGAAAGATTTCCTGAAAACGAAGTACTGGAATTCACAGCATTTGATTTGACAACATTAAGTGCATGTGATTTGAATTGTGGCCCATTCTAAATTCTAGTTGAAAAATTACACATAAAATGCAGTTGCATTTTAACAAATACAACAGTGAGCTACAACACTATAATGATTTTAAATTTGCCATGTGTGGAAAAAATTAAGTATAAACTGATAATGAAGTTTTCAGATATGGTAATGTTTTCATTACAGAATGCACAATTATTTTTAACTTTCAAAATTCATAGATACTGGTGAAACATTTTTGGCATCTACTGTTGACTGAGAATGAGGTTTCAGTTTAATGAATTTGATAAAAAAAATAAACAAAGAAATCATTTGAAAGAAGATCATTAAGGCATGTAAATGCAAGTAAAATTGTATTTAAATAGTAAATACAGTATTAATTTAGATCACTTATATGCTGAATAGTTAACTTTAGAAGAGAGAAGATTTAATATATATTCAAATAAACATAGCATTTATTTATTTTGATAAATCTAAACATTATTACTATTATTATTAGAGTTAAGCTATATTTTAGTAAATAATTTTGTTATGCTTGTATATTTATGTATTATTTTTTATGATTAATAAATAGTTTTTTTTAAATATGTGTGTTTTAAAAAATAATGAATGCTATTAAAATAGAATTAATTTAAATATAAAAGTAAGAGTAAATCAAAGCCTCACAAACAATACTTATAATAAAAAGTTGCATATCAGTAGTAAAAAATTAGATGGAACAATATAACTCTTGCTATTCTAACACTATTTGTTTCAGTAACTATACAGCATCTTTCTGACACTTTTTAAATTTTTCAGCCAAGAAGTTTCTATTGTCCATGTTTCTACTCCTCCATGAATTACACTATACTAAAATTGTTATACTTGGTTACTTTTCATATGTTTTCTGACTAGGAATCTGAATCCATTCCCTGCTCCCTTAAATCTCTTACATTATATCAGATTAACTTTGAAATAAATACTTCTTAATAATTGCTTTTTAAATCTCTAAATTTAATCTTTGCAATCATTTTGAACAGTTTATAGGGTTACTGCTAAGTGTTGCAAAGCTAGTACAGTCATTGATGACCATAAAATTAAAATTTACTAATATTAACTACCTGAGTGACCAGCCTTTACACAGTCATAAGATTTCCTGTCCTTTGATGTTCCTATAATTAAAAATAAAAATATTTCTGCTTTCTGACTTATCTAAGGATATCCTCTTAATGAATGAAAGTTTAAAATAAGTAATTAAGCATATTTAGCTAACAAATGCTGTTTAAATACAGTTCTTCGTGAGCAGAGGCAAAATGGCATGTCACTCAGAAAGTTAAGAAATATATCAAATTTTATAAACTTTTTAACATGTTAAATATTTTTATGATACACAATTCTATATGCTAAAGTAATGCTATGAAAATTAATTTTTGTACTTTTGTGTAAAAAAACTTTTTATAAATTCATTTATTCATTGAAATGAATCACTATATTTTTTTGCACTTTCTGCAATATTTATATTACTAATCTTAATATCATTTGTTATCCAAAGCACAATTATACTAATTCATAGGCCATAATATGTCCACTATTAAACAATTTACTTCAATACCAGTATTTTCTGAAGCACATATGCTCTTAATTCATTAATTTTAAAATTTATTTTAAGGCCTGATGGTGCAGTGGCTAACACATTGCGCAGCAGCACCACGGGTCCGGGGTTCGATTCCCGGGCTGAGTAAGGTTGATTTGGCCTATCATCCCTTGAGTAGGTCTATAAAATGAGTACCCAGTTCGTTAGGGAACTAAATACCGGGGGCTCTGCGACAAGATGACCACTTGCCCATGGCATATGCTGATGCACTCTGCTCTGGGATCTAAGGTCAAGAAAGCAGATTTCACAGCACTGCAGGCCATGGCCCACTAGGGCTGTTACGCCACCATGTTTAGTTTTTTTATTCATTTTACATCAATGATTCACCCTTGATTTATTAATTTTATATCAATGATTCACCCTTAATTTATTCATTTTATATCAACGATTCACCTTTCATTTACATCAATGATTCACCCTAGAAAGCTATAAAATAAGGTCTGAATTTTCATATATTGTGTTAAAATAAAAAAATAAAAAAATGTTTTAAAAATAAAACTATTTATAAAAATTCACTACATTCCCCCATCATAAATGCACATATAGTGCATGAAATGAAAGCTTAAAATTGGAAAACAAAAAAATACATAAGATTCGCTTAAATTAAATAAAGAACAAATAATTACTTCTTTATTTTGCAACGAAACTTGCCACCGCCATCTTCTATAAAAAGCTTCAGTAAATGTACTGTTTGCAAGAAGACTGTGTAAGGCTTTCCTGAGAGTTAGCAAACGATCATGAAATCCCCACATACCTATAAAAACAGTTTCAATGTCAAATAAAAATTCATAAACCACTTTCATCAATGTTTCTTGATTAGATTAAAATCTCTAGCATGTGATTTAAAAGAAATTATCATACTGAGTTTCTCTGTGCTTATCTTAGCAGAATACTATAAGTATTTTCTATATGAAATTACACAGGCAGATCTTCTGCTTCAACAGAAAATAAATTGAATTTTTCGTTAAGGCAACGTACATGATGACTCTCTGTCTAAGCAAAGGAATGGTTTAGTGAAAGACTTTCTATGGGAAAATGGTTTTATTGCTAATAATTTTGCACTTAAATAGGTCATATTAGTAGAATTATACATAAAATTGTTGTATTTTTCTGTGTAATGTAGCATGAGATAAATTTTAAGAGAAAGCTCTGTCTGAAATGTAAGAATACAGGGGCACATGCATTTAACATTGAGTAAATGGGTATCTCGGTAATTTGGCGATATAATGCCAAGCTGGCAATGTTTTGGCAACTTATCTTGTCACCAAATTTGGTGACCATTGTGACATTGTGGTCCAGTCCCTGTATCACTGTAACATGCATTGAAATTGAATAAATGTAATTGACCACTGTGTTAGCTATAATAGTAACCTTATTGTTTTCCAGAAAATTTGAGCAGAAAATAGAAATATCTTGCGAGCAGTTGAAAACTATTTAAGCCTAAAGAGAGAGCATCTACTCTCAGTAGTTGTTTAGTCAGTCAGATAGTTGCTTAGTTATTGTTGGTGCGATTTGTTTAGTTCTGCACGAACTGAGATATGCGAGTTACTTTTCTCTTTAGATGCACTCTGCATTGCATTGTGTTTAACATTCTTAGTAGTTTGATGTGTAACTACTGATTATACTGTGTGATACTGTGAACACCTGTACAAATATTTCTGTTGAAAATTCCAGAGTTATGAAATATTTATTTTGATAAATATAAATTTTATTAACCTATTATTGGACTTGTGCATTAAATTTATTATAAACTTGTACACATGCAACAATATGTATACTACACATGAGGAAAATTGACAAAATACCCATGCAGTATGCCTACTTGCCAGGAATTGAAGCCAGGCTCATGAGAAATCTACATCATTTAATAAATAATTTTAAAACTTAAAACTTTCACAAAAGTACTTATTATTACCATATAAAATAAAGCTATTTCAAATAAAGGGTTTCTTACATGTAGGTTATAACTTGATGCTTTTTAAAAAGCTTAGAATAAAATTATCCTTAATGAGCATATATGTCTCATATTAAATATTCTAAGACAATAAGGTTGTTAGAATATGAAAAAAAGTTATATAAAGTATATAATTATATATTTGCCTAAAGATGCAGCATGAAGCAAACAGTTCCCATCTCCAGTAGTTGCTAAAGGCCATAATCTTTGGCATGTGCCTTTTTCTGCCCACCAGTTCAAACGACCTGCAAAAATCATTGTTTGACATATTAACACAAGAAACATTACAATCGATAACATATAAAGACATAATTCAGCATTAACATACTGACAGCCAACTGCGATATAACCCATAACTTGCTGTCTGTTGAGACATTCTTCACAAGATTAGGCAATGCCTACGGGGCCACTAATTTTTGATTTTTGAATATTTGAAAAGTAACAAATTAATAAATTTGTTGCTTAAATTTTATATATATAGATTAAATTTTAAATTTTGTAAACAAACTATGTTTTTAATTATAAAAGAATTTTCCATCTTCTTTTCGAATAGAAAAATTAAAAATAAAATTTAATGCCACAGCAGCTTATCATGTTTGTTAGTAATTTAAGTGCTGTGAAATGAGTTCTTTTGTTTACGGGTATTGGCCCATCTGCAGTATAGTAGCATTGTCATCAAATACATATGCACAATCTAAAAAAACTATCCTGTTTTAGTGATAATCATTTTTGAAATTGTTTTTAGTGTTTTTTTATATTTTAGCCTAAGAATGTATTAAAGCATAACAAAAAAAATTGCTATCACAAACCAGACAGGCTAGTTTTGGTTAGACAAAAAGGTTTTATGAAAGGGGCAACCATAACAGCTAAGTGCTCACATGGCTATATTTAGTTCTACAAGCTCTTGAGAACTGCAAAGTAGCATTAACAATTGATAAAACACTATACCTATTAACAGTTAAAACGGATAAGTAAAAAGTGGGGCCCAAAAATGAAAAGAAAAGGAAGAACACACAGAAGAAAGAAAAAAAAAGCTCCCCAAATTTGACAACTTTGTTATTAAAACATCATACCCAGAAAGCCTACACAAAACATTATATTTGAAATTTGCACTACTAATAAGGCAGACAATAAACATATAGAAGAAACATATACATGCACATCAGTAGATATAGGTATCAAAAGATGTACGTAAAAATATTACTGATGATACGAGATTTCTAATTTATGCTGTCAAAAATGGCATGAGGATATAAATATTAGTTAAAGATGGCAATTTTTAACACAGGTTAAATTATTAAATAAATATTACAATGATGTGAAACAAGTTTTTGAAATGCCAGTATGAAATGTGCCCTACCAAACAAAATAAATTAATTTAATGAGTTGGTCGCAATTTAGAAAAAATTTGGGTAAACCAGATACATGCATATCCCTTTTATTCCTTATTATTAGACATTATTCAATGATATTTCAAAACCCATAAATTTTACAATTAGAGAAACATTTTTCAAATTTTATACTGTAAAGGATAATTCTTCTGAAAGATTTAGAGAACTCATTCTTAATTTCTTGAATGAAATAGAAATGTCAATTAAAAAGCATTATTAACAACGATTATGATGTTGATTATATTATGAGTGATGTTTACAATGGCCTATAACAAGAGGTTAAAAACTATTCAACCTAAGGTAGAATATATACACTTGGACACTAATATTATTTGCTAGACTTTGTTGGCATTTTCCAGCACAATTAAATTTATGCCTCAGTGGACTAGCCTAACTATTTAGAGCTCCAAGGTGTGGTTCTCATTTAAAAAAAGCAACTGACAGTTAATGAAAGGAGAAGCACCTTGCTTATTCAAATATAGAGCATCCACAGTAAAGCTGTCTGAAAACACATTTGTCTTAGTTTCAAATGTGTGAAAGAATAGAATAGTGGCATAAAATACAAAGGGATACTTATCACAGAATGGATTTTAGGAGGATGTGAATTGCACAAGATCACACGTACACATCTTTTTCTACAATTACATGGACTAAATTATCTGCAAAAGTGAGCATACTTGCTTACAGTAGAATTTTTCATTTTCATCTTTAAAAAATTCATGAATAGTATACAACATCTTTGTGTAGGGCATTATTTCTGATGTAGTACAGCACACCAGTAATAACCTTATGGAAATTATTTTGGAGGTTCTGAAGGATGAGAAGATTCTATCATGAGCATTTGTCCAGGCAGGAGATGCTTTTGTAATTATTGGCTTAATTGTTGAAATGTAAAGATGCCTCTAGTGGTTTTGAATTGTTGGCCGGAAGCTTCAGCTTGAAGATTACACTATATACTTCAGCAACAACCTTCTTAAAATGCTTCTGGCAGGAGAATCTTTAGTAAGTATTACACTAAGATCTGTTCATATCACAACCTTGTCATTAAATGACATTGCAAACAATTGTAAAGAAATTACATTATTTCTTGATATATTATAAAATATATATTTATTCAATGAGAATAGTATAAACCAGCAGGATCTGTTAACAAATTTTACAGCCAAATCAGATATATATAAAAAACACGTTGGTAGGGTTACTTTGTAAGATCTAACTTTCTTTGCTATCATAACATTAATGTGATCTTACGAGGAAACATGGCATCTTCTCGCATAGGCATGAATAATGCCAACATAGATGGAGGGTAAAATAAACCCTTTAATATTCATCAAATTCTAAACACAAATCCATATACTTCATGTTCACCATAACACCAAAGTCTTACGATTGAACTTAAGAATAATTTAACAATAAATTCAAAAATAAAGAGCAGCGCTGGACTAACAATTTAATTTAAGACTAACTAGGCTGACTAAACAACCTACCCAGTGATATACTTATTAAATGGTCAAAAGCCGTATCAGCAGCAAGGACAAAATAGTAATGCAAACTGGCTAGCAAAATTATATTCTGAATAAACTACTAGTTTCGGCTGTTTTTATAATCTTTCCTTAACTTTAAATTTGGATCCTGGTGAGGAAATGCGAGGGAAAAATGAGAGGTTCAGGAAAGATACCAAACTTAAAATAATTTATTATGCAAACTAAGGGGAACCCTACGTCCTCACTAATTGCACTAAATTATGTTATGGTGTCATTCTTAGTTTTAACTGAAATCCACATTAAAATCAATAAAAAACAGAAATGGAAAGAAGCACTGCAGATACAAAAGACAAAAAGCAAATTTTGAATTTATTATTTTTTGTATATTTATTCAAAAAGTATTAAAGAAAATAAATTGCATATCAAAAATATTACAGAAAATTAATACACGTTTAGATGAAGTTACACAATGTTTAATTAGTGCCTGCATAAATGCAAAGAAACTGTGAAACAAATTTAAATTTATTTAAGCAGAAACAAATGGTTGGAAAATGGGATACACTTCAGAATTTCTAACCAAGAGATAAAGTAAAACAAAACATTATAGAATTATAAGAAAATAGAATTCATTCTAATTTTCGAGCTAAAAGGAAAAAGGAGAAAAGAGTGGGGCCTTGATCTCACGAGCTGCATGTACAGGTGAGCTCCGATTATGGTTTTCCCTTTGGAGTCTAATATAGAGTGATTTTGTGCAGTGGTGATGTGAAAGAGAAAAAAGCAAATGAGGGGTGTTTTGCCCTGCGGCCGGTTGCCGAAGCAAGAGGGCTTGGGCTGCATTTTTCTTTGCTCTAGAGGATACATTCTTTTCTGCGAAATGTTTAAAAGTTTTTGTGCAAGATGCAAGAAACATTTTCCTCTCAAGATGTCTGGAGAAATGTGCACACGCTGCAAAGATGCTAAGAGCCGATTACTACTTTAATGCGAGATGTATAGAGCAAATCTACGAAGAAAATTTAGAACAGATTTTCCCTCTTCACCCGAATCTCCGGATAATCTGTTCTGAACCCTAAAATTTGATATTCTCGAATTGAATATTCCTGACACTTGGAAGTTCCGGATCGACGTGCAGTTATTACTTTCCAGCTCTTGTGGTTCCTGACGCCTAGACGTTCTACACAGAAATTTGTTCCTGAAGAATGAAATTTTCCCTGATCTGGCGGTTAGTTTTACAAAAAGGACTTCATACCGTTCCCAGATATTTTATTTACTGACCATTCTGTACAAGTCCATTCTGTACAGAATAGACTTCAGCGCGAGAGTGTTAGTTAAACTGTAATCAAAGTGTTGGCTCAAGGAAACAGACTTCTTCCATGACTAGGAAAACTGGACACTTTCCCCAAGGTTGTGTATTCCGAAGAATATGCGAGTGAAATTTTTAAGATTATTTTCTCTCTCTTAGTATTCCCAAATGTCATAGTGGAACAGTTAATAATGATTTATCTACCTGTTTATAATGTTATTAGTTATATAAATTAAACATTACAGCTAGTAAGATTGAGAACTGGCTCAGTATTTCAAGTTATGGCCAGTTTTGGGATGTTTAAAATTTGTTTCATTTACTGAGTTTGTGAGTCAGAAAATGTTAGTTTCTAATTAATGAGAACCATTTATTTGGAGAATTAAAATGTTACACCTACTTAATTTGGGGAAAAAGTTAATTTTTAATTAAATGTTTTAATTATTGTAAGCTGAAATTTTGTGTGACAGATGCGATATTTTCACACTAAAATTATGTGGTGGAATACTGAACAGTTTATCCTATATTTGGTATTATTATATTCAAGAATTTAATAAATGAGTTTGATTTAGAATTTTAATTGCACTTGTTTATTTTGTGTGTTAACTTACTTTGGTCTGTCACGTCACTCCACTTGTTTGAGCCAGTAGGTTTTTAAGAAACATGGAGGCTTTTATTGAATTTGTGTTATTGTTTTCTCTTTTGCATAGGTTACTCACAACGCTAACCTAAAATTTAATGTGTACTACCACTATATGATTGTTCGATATGATATATGATTGTTCATATGATGATAATATTTTTTTTTTGGTTAGTTTTGTCTGGTACCATGAGTCAGTTTGAGTTAAAGTTTAAAACACTAATTTTCAGATATTCAACAAAAATGTTTATTTACTGGCATGATAAATGCAAATTTTTTTTTGGGGGGGGGTGCTAAGGAATCCATGCTAAGGAAACTGAACTAATACAAAAGCGTGACAATTTAGGAGATTTTTATTCCTAAATATTGTTGCCAGTTTAACTTTACAATTTATAAATGCACTGCAGTTGTGCATAACCTTAATGAAAATGTACCCATTTAAGAATTTGGGAATTAAATGTAAAAAAAAAAAAAAAAAACACTTGAAAAGAGATTGTAAAATGTATATAGTTTTACTTTTTTTTTTTTTTAACCATTTCTGGAACTCTTACTACAGTAGATATACAGTCAAAAGTCATTAATCCGGACTTGTCGGGACTTCGGCGATTCCAGATTATCAATTTTTCCGGAATATAGATCATCAGTTTAAATCTGGTAAGATGGCATGCAGAAATTATAAAATTAAAAATATGAAACCATAATTTATGAAACAAAGAACAATTATGATCTAAAGGGTATCAAAATTTACAAAAAAAAAAAAAAAAAAAAAAAGCTTTATATTCATTTGTTTACTTTAAACATTTCTTTCAATGTAAGTTGTTTCGTTTTATGTGATAATACTTTCTCTTTAATTCTATAAACAGACATAATTTCTTGTTCAGTTATAAAGTTCCGCTGTTGAAGTCCTATAATTGCTGTGTTGAGAATACCGACAAATTAGTCAATCGAAATTGTTTCGTTTTCAATAACCTCCGCGTCACTTTCTTCACTATCGGAAGCGAATTATAATGACGAGGAATTCATTTAAATCATATCAAAGACGGAGTACATTGAGATGAAGTACTACATTTAGTAAGCAATTATAAGCCAAATAAAAGAAAAACATCTGCCCTGAAGATAAGGATAGTGCTAACAGATCAACTTCCAATTCATTGTTGAATTAATAGATACGTCAGCCGAATAATCACATTGTCTGTTCTGCAGGAACGGAAGTCATAAATCAACAGAGTGAAAATTTTTAAGTGAAGAAAAGAAAAAAGAAACTTTTGAAAAAGCAGGGCAGATTTTTTTTTAACAGAAGGCATAGAATTAAAGACTGCAAGCAGAAAGTAAACTGTAGTCCCTTTAATAATAAACATTTGAAAGCAATTTGTTATTCATTCCATCAGAAAAAAAGATGATAAACTTGAAAAGAAAATGTCAGATTCGAATGTTATTCCTGCAGTTTCATCTTATAATTCCAATGAAAGTAGATATAATAAAATATTATTACAAACTGCTTCTGTGTTGATTTGGAATAATGACAAATGTGGAAATTCTTTTTTATAATGGCTTTATGAGATCTTTCATAACTAAAGGTATCTCGAAAAATGGATCTTCTGATTGTTAGAAAAGAATCACTTTCTGTTTACTCATTTGGAGATAAAACTGTGTTAGAAAAAACCTTTAATGTTGTTAAATCAAAACTAGAAACCGCTAGAGATCCCAGTCTTAGTATAATGTTGAACTATTAGAAACCGACAGTATTATGAACTACTAGAAGCAGACAATATTACCAATACTATTAGCTCTCCACCCAGATTTTAATTTTGCTAAGGAAGATAAAAGTTTTAGAAAATTTCCAATTAGCTGACTGTCGTAAAAAAAGTGACAAAATTGATATTCTCATAGGAGTAGATTCCTACTACTCTATAATCATAGGCAAAATTAAAAGAATTTCAAGAAATGTAGTAGCTGCAGAATCTTATTTGGGTGGTGTTTGCAGGGTAAAGTAAATAATGATTTTAGTGAATTATTAACTATAGTAAATGAAGTAATAAAGCAAGTAATAGTAAATGAAAAATTGACATCCTATCAATTACAACAATTTTTGAAGCTAGGAAACTTGGGTTTAGAAAATGATACTCAAAACGACAAAACTGTTGATTTAGAAATTATGAAATCTTTTGAATCTAATATCACGTATATATATGAACAGCAGATATCAAGTAAGATTACTGTGGGAACCAAGTTCAAAACATTTAATGGAAGATAAGTAGGGATACAGCAAATTTAAAATTGATAACCCTTTCTTTGTTCAACATGCAGAGGTGTTAAGGGATTATGAGTTAAAACATATGACTGAACCACTACAGGAAGGCAATCAAAGGATAAGATGCTATTTTATTTGCCTCACAGAGCAGTCATCAGAAATGAAAGAGCAGCAAACAGACTAAGAATAGTTTATGATGCTTCAGCCCACAAACCAAATACACTTTCTCTAAATGACTGTTTACATACTGGTCCAAACTTATACCCTGATATTTTTGACATACTGATAAAATTCAGGCAAAATTCAATAGCCTTTATGGATGACATTACACAAGCTATTTCACAGATAGATTATATGAAGAAAACAGAGATGCTTCATGGTTCTTTTGGAAAGATGATCCTGATGACAGTAATGAAAATTTCAAAACTTTTAGATATTATGAGCATTTCAATGAGGCTAAATGTCACTACATAAGTGGCATACTAATTCAAAAGAACTGAAAGACATCTGACATCGCAGAGAATTTTCGATACAAGAATCTCCTGAAGTTGTTTCGATCAAAGTTCTAGGAATTAACTGGGATATGGATAATGATAATTTTTATTTTGACACTCAGCACTTAACAAATTTCTTTTCCTCATCAATTAACTCAAAACATTTTCTATTACAAACCACAAGCCATACTTTTGATCCTGTTGGATTAAATGGCTCTTTCACTATAAGAATAAAGTATCTGATTCAGGAAATGTGGTCTGGCAAAATTGATTTGGGACGATGAACTGCTGCCAGATCTTATTTGTAAATGGAATGGTATGAAGAAATTCAAGAAATGAACCACCTCAGGATTTCCCGCTACTATTTAGAGAAAATATTAGATGTAAATGAGAAATAAATAAAACTCTATAGCTTTTCTGGTGCTAGTTTGAAAGCTTATGGATGCATGGTATATCTGAGAATAGGTCTGAACAATGGAACTTTTCAAACAGTTTTTGTTGCTTTCAAGAATAGAGTTGCACCTGTAAAATCACTTACACTTCCTAGATAGGAGCTCTTGGGTGTGCTTTTGTCCGCTAGGGCGATATAATCACAAAATGTTTAAAATACAAAATAACCCCCTTCCATTGGACTGATTCACAAATAACTTATTTTGGGATTTACAGATCTTCTGAAAAAAACCAACCACATTTAAAACCATTTCTTCCATGACTAGAAATAATTGGTGTTGTCTCTCTCAAGCATCCTACAATTTATTACAAATAACAGAGATTATCTACAGAATTATTACACACACATATATTTACATTTTAAGTTTTCCTCTAAGGAACCAAAATTAAAAAAAAAAAAAAAAAAAAAAAAAAACCACTTAAAAATACTGTTTCAGACACTTTTTTAAAAATTCTATACAAAAATTAAACTCATGTTGGCATCTAACCAGATTTAACCAGAGTTATTAACCAGATTTCTTTAAAATAGACTTGACAGTCATACACCTTCTAAGCATCAAGTATATATGCTTTCATTATGTAAATACGTTTTACAAACATATATTTCTTTAGGGGGGGATTACATAACACTGATATTTCAAAATGCTTATCAAATTGAATGGAATAAGAATGCAGAAATTCCTTCATATATAAGGAATTATTAAGATTTGAAGCATTATGGTATATACATATATTTTCACCAATCATTTTTTAAATAAAAAAAAGAACTGTTGCCAATCAGTACAGTATAGCCTCAATAATAGATGAGTATGATGTCAGAACACTCTCATAAGATTCTCACTTATTTTATGAACCCTATCTTTACTAAGCCATTTAGTTTTTGTAAAGAAGGATTTATTTTCTACGTTTAATTTTAAAGAAAAGATTTAAATGGCTTTAAAATGCAGAACAAATGATTAAAATTTCTTTAAATGCAGAACTCAATACAACCGCATTCTGTTAAAACCTGGTTATACTGGTGTGGATACTGAAACCACTGAAAATCGCTAGGATTGATTCCGGAATTGCTTACCTTCACATTTAAATGAATTTACGTGGACTTTAAAAGCAGGATGATAATTTTGCAATTATTTTAAATGCCACTAAGAGTTTGGGGTCACCAGAATGACTGATGCAAGTTTTAATGAATTCGTTCATCTATTTTCAAGCTCATACTTATTTAAGTTATTTATATGTAGCTTGTATCTACTGATTATTTAATTAATAAAGTGCAATCTATTTCTGAAAACTTCCTCCCCAATGAGTAGCAAGACTTGCCCTATCTTTCAAGGTCAACAGTCAAATATGCGAGTCCCAAAATAATACATCCTATTTGGAGTATTCTGTTTAAGAAATAATAATAATGTAATTGCAATTTATTTAACTTTATGAAACATCAGAATAATTTAAAATTCTTACCAGCATTTTCTAAAGATACCAGAGTAGAAGTTTCAATTAAATCTTTTTCTAAGAATTCTCTAAAATCACTTGGATAAATTGATAAATCTGGCAATGAGAATGTATACACAGGTGTTTCTAATCCTGTGACTATTTGGCTTTTATCACATCCAGATGATACAAATTCTTTGGCAAATTTACTGCGTGCTCGAGAAACAAGATTGACATTATCTGTTGCTCTAGATATTCCTCGAGACAAACGTTTGCCTAAAAGAATGACAGACATATATTAATTGGAGGATGATTGTACAATGAAATCTCAGTATGAGTCAATATTACTGCCCATTTTAACATTTTAATTAATAATTTAAAAATCAGAGTTTTCATCTGCACATGTAAAAACAAAACTTGTTATATTTTCTTTCCATACTATAAAACATTAATACTGAATGCCTAAACCATTTCTTTCATTTTGAGAATAATAAATTTAGATTTACATTGTTATACATTTAGGTTGCACTGAAAAACAAATTTAATATATTTTTAGTTTACTACCATTTAACTTATTGAATGAGAAGCACATTTTCTGAACTTTACGTTATTTACAACTCAGTGTTAAATAAATTATCATTGTTATGCTTTCCTTTCATTATCAAATGGAGAAAGTTTTTATCTCAATGAAATGAATTAATACAATACAATTTCAAACTAACACATGAAATTCCTCAAGTTTCTAGTAAGGGTGAATATTCAAACTGATTATAACTAGCAATGCTTGAGAAAATGTTACAGATGTTTTCTTATTTCACTGTAATCAGCACAAATAGCATTTAAAATTACTATTAATTTTAGAATTTATTTATTTATTTATTTTTGGAAAAAATTAACTCGTACAACATATATAGTTTTTTCAGGTATCATAAATTGTAATCAAACTTTAGATAGACTGACAACAAATTATTGCTAGCCTAAAATAAGAATTGAGATTTGAAAAGTGTGTAAAATGCCCTTTTATTAAAACTAAAGAGCAGATGGCACATCATAAGTGCTGGCTGAATGCCAGCGTTTGTTGCAAGGTAACTTAAATAACAGTACGTTAAAATTCAAAATAAGCCAGTAGAAGTTGGCTCATAACCTAACCGCCACACATATTCAAATATCAGCAATTATAATGGAAGGCCAAAGACTACAGATCTTATCAAAGTAGCTGCAATGTGGCTTCAAGAGGCAGAATACATTCAGTCTTAAAATCTAAAAACCTGAGTTTAAATATATACGAGATAATTTGCATCCTTCACACAAATGGAATGAAGAAGTTACAATAAAAGTCTAAATAACAGTAACCGGTTAATTCAAAAAATAAAAACCCTACAATACATGCTTTTTAAATAAACGAATCTGAAAATTGCATCCTTCCAATAAAATAGTGAAACACCTTTTACACATCCTCTGAAGAATTATTTAAAAAAAAAGTAACCCAAATATTTTGTTTCCTATACATACATTTTAGCTCCAAAATTAACAATTCAATGTTACTTTATTTACCTAAATTTAGTTCACTTAAAATTCTATATATACATTAAAATAATGAAAGGATTCCATTTTAAAAACTAGAATAATTAAAAATGCAAAATTAATTCAGACTGTTAATCATAAAAATAGAATAATACAGTACAAAGTCTTTAATCTGGACGTCCATAATCCGGAATGATCTATACTCTGGAACTCAAAGCTACAAACTTTCTTGCCATTTACGCATGCGCATTTAATGTATAACGAACAGTATAAGCTAGGCTAAAATTATTTAATTATCTATTTCAGTTTATTTTGCAGATTGTGTTGTTCCTTAATCTTCTAACTGGATCTGGCTCATTATTTTTTGCAGACCTTTAGAGCAATTTTATAAGAAGTAAGCTTGAACTTTCGATTATGTCAAAAAGAGTTTCCGATTGTGCAGCTGCCAAAGGATCTACAAAGCAAAAGCATGTTTCGATGTCCATCAAACAAAAAGTGGAATTGCTGCAAAAAATGGATAAAGGCATGAAGAAAGTGACAGGAGGTTAGTGAAAATAAAACAATTTCGATTGACAAGTTAGTTGGTATTCTCGGCACAGCAATTACAGGACTTGAACAGTGGAACAGTGGAACTGAACAAGAAATTATGTCTGTTTATAGAATTAAAAAGAAAGCATTAGCACAAAAAACGAAGCAACTTAAACAACTTACATTGAAAGAAATGTTTAATAAAGTAAACAAATAAATATTAAGCTTTTTTTTTTTTTCATAAATTTCGATACCCTTTAGATCATAATTGCTCTTTATTTCATAAATTATGGTTTCATATTTTTAATTTTATAATTTCTGCATGCCATCTTACCAGATTTAAAGTGATGACCTATAATCCAGAAAAACCCCTAATCGGGAATCGCAGAAATCCCGACAAGTCCGGTTTAAAGACTTCGTACTATATAACTTTAGTATTAGCAAATAGGAATTAATCAAGAGAGACATGAGTACAGATGTGTAAGGTATAAAAATGAGAAACATGTAAATGGTGCTTTACTGTACTAAATTTTAAATTTTGAGTGACAATACGATATATATATATTATTTAAAAGGTATGCATAAATAAACTATAAAATCCTACTTCCAGTATCATCTGAATCAAGCACTGTATCTTTTGGATGTGGGCAGCATTTTGATGTGGAAGCATAAGTGTCAACATCTAAACGCTGTTTATGGCCCCCAGAAAGTTTTATTGGCAGTGAAGTTGCTTCCTTTAATTTTGGACTAGTTGTAATACCTTTGAGAATATAGAATGCAGAAAGTGCAGACTGTAAATCCCACTCATGACCTATATCACATAGATAAATTTAAAAAGTTAGTATCACAAAAAAGCATAACTGATTTTGATCTTTATTGGGTGGGAGAAATTTGCTCATGCAAGCAATTATCACTTATAAAATATCTGAAATTTTTAAAAATTTTACCAAGCATAGAAAGAAAAATGCAAGTTAAATATAGCAAGATAATGGTTAAAAAAAAGGACTAAATTTCTATTTAATCCTTTTTTTAATGCAATATTTCTGATGAAAAGCAATTAGTGTTTCTTTGTTTAAGAAGTTGTAGTGAAGCCAACAAAAGTTATCTGCCTTAGGATAGAATTGTTTTTACAGAAAAAGAAAACTGGCTTATATTTACATTGCATATAAGAAGCATCATGAAAACAACCATACAACCAAAGAAAATAAGGGGGAAAAAAAGAAAAGAAAAGAAGCAACAATGAAAACAAATTAAAAGAATAAATGTTAATGAAAAGTATTTAAACAAATGAAGACTGGGTGAGGTACATCCTGTAGTACTCATCACAAATCTCTAATATACAGGATGTTTCATATTGAATAGGACAAAAAGAATAGCATAGCACTAATTCTGCATCTGATTTATAAAGCTGAAACAAATTAATTTTGAAACTACAATTATACAAGTTTCATCAGGCAAGAGCAAAAAAATCTTCTTGTTATTAAGAGGCACTGTTAATCAAAATGGTGCCATCCATGCAGGAGAAAGTGTTTTGGAATATGCCAAAATATTGTTTTATTGTCGTTCAAAGACATTTTTGCACAAAATTTTGTAATGTACCACCACTTTGTCACAACATCAAATAGAAAAGAAGCAGTTTCAGAACACAGCTGCTTGGGTAAGAAAACCAGCCCAGGTTGAACAGCAACCAAAAAAGAAAAGAAAAAAAAAAAAAAAAAAAAAAAAAGTGGTTTAAAAATTCATAACACTTTCATGAAGTCCCACAAATCAACATATTGGACGAGTTCTGAACTCACAGTGCCTCAGCAATGTAGCATATGTTACTGAAACATCTACAATTCCAGCCAGATGGTGCAGCGCTGCATAAAGCCTTCTGTGAAAATTTGCAAGATAAGCTGCAGATGGTTTCACGATCAGACTTGTGTTTATGGATGATGCTTCTTTTCAGGTTTCTGACAAAATTAATTGCCATAATTTATGATTTTAGGGCACGAAAAATCCCCATGGTGAAAAGAACATAAGCATACTTATCCAAAGTTTTCTGCACCATTTCCAACAGTTGTGTTTTTATTTTTTCTTCACAGAAAAATTCACTGATGGGTGCATTTATCAAGATATGTTATCAGAGTGGCTATTCCCTCACTTGAAGAAAGTTCCCAGCTTCATTCTGCAACAAGGTTGTGCTCCATCACATTGACGTAAAAACACATGCTAGTACCTGAATGATAATCTACCCCACTGCTGGATTGGCCATGCTGGGTCAAACAATATGTCATTGCTTTGTTAGTCACCGAGATTGCCAGATCTCATCTCTTGTGATTTTTTCCTATAGGGTTTTGTTAAAAACAAAATGTTCGTGCTTCCATTTCCCCAGGAGTTACAGCAACTGAAGCAGCGGATAACTGAAGTGCTCCAATCATTAACAAAGGATATTCTATCACAAGTGCGGCAGGAACTGGAATATTGCATAGATGTTTGCTGTGTCATCAGAGCAGCACACATAGAATGTTTATAAAAATTTGGATAACTATAATTCTACTGTAAACTTGATTTATCAAAATAAAGTAATTACAGCTTTCTTTTCATCCCATTCATTATGAAACTTTATTACATTTTATATATATCTAGACAAAGATGGATAACAAATGTAATGTGCGAGCTCTACGAGAGACAATTTGTAAGTATCATCTCATGATAAGGGAATTGCTTAGCCTAGAGGAAGTTATTTCAATAAATTTGCGATTCTTACTAATTTTCTTCTACCAGACATGACAGTGACATTTTGTCGATATTTTTCATCGTTTTTCACTTTTTCAGCTGATCTCAAGTGCCTGAATGTGACTTTGTATATAATTTACTATAGTTTTGAAGTCTATATTTATTATATTTTATATACATCTAGCCAAAACCTAAAATTTAAAAACTAAGCAAATTAAAAAACTGTTATTCCTCGAACAATAATCAAATTTAAATGCATTGTAAAAAATATATATATAAACTATTAAAAAATAATAAATAAATACAAATCAAATAATACTCGAACAATAATCAAATTTAAATGCATTGTAAAAAATATATATATAAACTATTAAAAAATAATAAATAAATAAACTAAAAGAAGCTTTTCTACAACTTGAAAGGAATTCTTTACTATTTTTTCTGACTAAATTTCAGTATGTTTTGGCAAAATAGTTTTGCTACTGTAGAAATAAAAAGATAAAATTACGTACTGATTTTAATGTTCAATAATGATGCAAAATTTGTATTTAAATATTGTTTCTTGTTCAGTGCATCTACTACATCAACCAATGTTAAGTAGTTTTGAATTCATTCATGATTTAGTCGACTACATATTTTTTGATTAATTTAAGGGATGCCTCACCCAACTGTCAAGAATTCTTGGCATCTAAAATTAAACATCTGCAGTATGCAGAAACTGAATTAGCAAACAGATGAATATTAAACATAATATTCCATACTTTAAAATTTAACTTGCATTCTTTAAAGATTTTGAGCTAAAGCAACTGTTATTTGAAAATGCCAGGTTTTCAGAAATAATAATATTTTATTGGATCAAACTGATTATTATGCCTATGAAAATTTTGTGTTTTCATTCAAATGAGTAAAACATAATTTTATGTTTTATGCGAGATTGATAGCTGGATTTTAAGAAATAATAGTTATTCAACACTATAAATTAAAAAAAAATCATCTCATGAATATACATTATTAAATGTAACATTACGTTACCTTCTAGAAGATCCCGTGCAAGACCAGGATCTGCAGATGTACGAGTGATAAACTCAGAAAGTATTATGTCCATTTTTACATCTATCAACTACATTTAGTCGGAATCTGCCATTCCTCAGAAATAACCACATTTCAGATCAACAGTTAGCTGCACAGATGTCCATCCATTTTGGATTCATGATTGAAAATGAATCATAGTCAACTATAAAAGTAAAATATTCAGTTATAGTGAAAGAAAAAAATGACATTAGGTACTACCATATTTAACGGCATATAAGACACATTTTTTTTCCTAAATTTGGTCTCAAAAAAAGTTACCTGTGTCTTATACGTGAAGGAAACAGGTTAACTTTCAATACTGAACGCTATTTTTAGCCCGGATAAAGGTTTAGACACACATAACTTTTTCTACATCTACATGTGTGTGGCCTTCTAAATAAGGGTGTGTCTTATATGCCGTCAAATACGGTATTTAGCACTAAATGTAAGAATTTTTATATTTCTTAAAGAATTATACTCCTCCATAAATTTTCCATTTTAGAAATTTAAAAGAAAATATAATCTCTAAAATCAACGGGATTTTGACTATTTTATTAATCATTATTTGAAGAAGACAAAGTAATCCCAAATATTATTTCCACTGTATCAGGAAAATAACTTTTCAAAACTTCAAAAGCTCAAATATTTACTACCAAATAACTATTTGTTCACAATGAAGAATGAACTTTCTTTTAAAAAGCTGTCTGTTTTCCTCATTAGTCTATAGCAGCATTTCTCAGATTTTTTTCAAATGAGAACCACTTTTACAAATACGAATATTTTGTGGACCATCATCGTACTCTTGTCACCTTTATAAACAATGTTTTTAGCAAGTATTAGTAATAATATACTTACATTTTAAAAATACAATTCATTACAATTTTGCATTAAGTAAACGAAAGAAAACTTTTTTTAAAAAATAATTCTAAAAGAAAACTTTTTTCCCAAACCTATTAGACTTTGGATAATCTTACTAAAAATTAATCAAAGGTTGTTTCTTATATTAATAAGACAGACATACTTCTGATTAATACATAGCTGTTCTCTGTTTTGGATGCATGCTGGTAATAAACAACAGTCATAGTGGTTTAAATCCCTCTTTAGTTGCTGTGACTAGAGTGAGAAGTTCATAAGTAGCATAACCGGTAATAATTTTCATGTCAGTCTCAGGAGAAAAAATAACAGATGATCACCATGTGTAATTTCTAAACTTGCATCTATAATGTGGCCCATGCAATTAATTTGAATTTTACTTTTGTCTTTGGGGGAAATCTAAGAAAACGACAAGAACAGGCTTCAAAGGACCACTTACGGTTCATGGACCACAGACTGATAACAGGTGGTCTACAGCATTCACTTTATCATTATCTCATGCAATGCCACATGAGATATTAAATAAGCTCCCAGACCAAAAAATGCCCTGCATTACGAGCCACACACAAACTGTCACACATTACACATGCAGCATTTATCTTAGTAACATGTAAATAAAAAATAATCTTCGTATAAACAAAAACAAACAATAAAGCAGAAAAGTAAACATATTTCTTAGTATTATAATACTGCTAAAAACAGCATCCCTTCAAGATACAGTCAAAAGTCGTTACTCCGGACTCGTCGGGACTTCGGCAATTCCGGATTATCGATTTTTCCGGATTATAGATCATCAGTTTAAATCTCGTAAGATGGCATACACAAATTCTAAAATTAAAAATATGAAAACCGTATTTTAGGAAATAAAGAGCAATTATGATTAAAAAGCTCCGCTGTTCAAGTCCCATAATTGCTGTGCCGAGAATACCGACTAACTTGTCAATCGAAATTTTTTCGTTTTCACTAACCTCTCTGTCACCTTCTTCATGTCTTTATCCATTTTTTGCAGCAATTCCACTTTTTGTTTGACGGACATCGAGACATACTTTTGTTTTGTAGATCCTTTGGGAGCTCCAGAATCGGAAATTGACATAATCGAAAGTTCAAGTTTACTTTTATAAAATTACTCTTACAGTCTGCAAAAAATAATAAGCTGCATCCAATTCGAAGATTAAAGAATAACGCAAGCATCAACATTAACTGAAATAGATAATTGTATAATTTTAGCTTATACCGTTCGTATACGTTAAATGCGAAAACGTATTCTGCACTTGCGTACACGCGTGCGCATAAAGGTCTTACACACACGCGTAAATGCCTATGCGTATGTGTCAACGCGGCGCATGCGCAGAAAGTTTTTAGCTTTGAGGTCCGGATTATAGATCATTCCTGATTATGGGTGTCCGAATTAACGACTTTTGACTGTACTATTCTCTTGAGAATAGAAGGAGAAACACAAAGGCCTATTGCAATCATCAACTAAGTACATTTTGATGAAGTGGGAAAAGGTCCAGGCCATAGACAAGCAGCAGCATCCTAAGCAATTTGAACTGAACAGAACAGTTAACCTGCTTAATGATTATCCCACTACTACTTCAGGGCCAACTTGAAGGGAACTGAGAAGTAAACCACTTTAGATAATTTTACTGAAACTTGTACTCCCAAAGAAACAGAGGTATGCAAGAAAATCAATGACATTTAGGTCTTCCATCACCAGAGGAAGATTAAGAAGACTAAGAATGAATTGAAATATATAACCATAATGCTTTGTAAACACATATAAGTATTTTTCATAACTATCAAATTAGCACAGTACACAGTCTGAGATTCCAAATCATCAGGATTTCACATATTCCAGATTTAATGAATCTATTTAATTCATTAAGGATCATTAATATATGTACGCTAAATACAAGGTTGTTATTGCAATTTTGATTGTCACATTAGCGTGTTTGTCTTCTATTCTTTCTATTATGATGTTGCAAGTCTGGAATATGTTTTAGCACTAAATATCTTCAAATGCAAAATTTTTCTACTTTTATTCTAAAACTATTTTTTAAAATTATAATTACATATCTATCTAAATAATAATAAAGCAAGGGGCAGTTTATAAATATAATTTTATACACAATTACAAAAAATAAATGCATGTCAATCGAATCCTGAAAATTTTTTGTCCCATTTCTTGCTGCAACTTTTAATAAATGCTAATCTTTTTTACCATCACTTAAAATTTATTTAAGAAGACTTATCAGGGGGGGGGAAATCGCATACTGTCCGCTTTTGTTAACCAAGGTAATAATGGAGATGATATTCAAAATTAATTCAAAAGCATATTTAATCTTAATCAACTAAAAAAGTACAGAAAAAAGGCATACCTCATATCATAATTTACAAAGAGACAAACTCAGAAACATATTAACCAAAAAAAAAGGGGGGGAAGTATAGTATAAAGTCCGAGATACAGAACCATCAGGGAGCTTCAGTAGTTCTGGAAATTTCTGGAAAGTTCAGATCATTAATTAAAGATTACAAATTTAAATCTAATAAGATAATTACACAGAAATTATTAAAAATACTATTTAAGAAACATTTACTTTGCATATTGAAGGATCACTAATTTAAATCTAGCAAGATGACATGCAGATACAAATATGAAAGGGTTGTTTGTGAAATAATGCAGCCTTTTTTTTGGGGGGGGGGAGGATCTTTAAAAAAATTACCAAAAAAGTCAATGTTAATTTTTATTTTACTTCATTAAACATTTCTTTCAACGCAAGTTGTTAAAGTAATTTCATTTTTCACATTGATACTTCTCTTTACTTTTATAGAAAACAATTTCTTGTTCAGCTACAAAGTTTGTTTATTAAATGCTGTAAGGACCAGGTGGAAAATCTTAATAAATAATAAATTAAATTCTTTTCATTCTTAACAGCCTCTTCTTCATTCTCTTGGCTATCAAAGCCAAAACTTTCTGGATATAAAACCATACTACAGATTCTGTTGCCTATTGACTGACCAATGATCAGGGCATTTTCATTATAGTGAAGACATTATATAATCTGTGATCCTAGTGTACCATCTTTAATCATAGCTATATCGTCCTCTCAGCATTTATTTACATTTTTTACATTAATATTCTCTTAACTGAAAAATTTCACTTTACTCCCTGTTAAAGCTATACCACTAGGCCAATTTTTTGTTTTGGCATTTTTTATACAACCTTTTTGCTTTGGTTTGGCTTCTTTCCTGAAAACCAAATTTTTCATCTAATCATAGCTGCCCCCTTTCCAAAACATATTTTTCTGGTTTGGAATTTGGTAAGAGATGAACAAGTAACTAGTAATTCTTTGAATAACATCCTTATGAAATTAAAATGCAACTTGAAGCCCAAATTGTGATATTTTCTGGTTTAAAAAATAATTCATATTTCACCATTCCATTTATTGACTGATACACTATCATCACTACATATGACTTGTATTATATAATCTTCATCAAATATTACTTCACACATTTTATTAATCACAAAATTTCTCTCCCTATCTTTTTTTTTTTTTTTTTTTTTTGATATCTGAAACATTTTTTAATTCACAGCTATCACCATCATCATTATGAAACATAGTCAAAAAAGTGATATTTTCTGATTTTAAAATCATACCATTGATTTTCACTGTTTCATTGATTAGTTGAAGGTGGAGATATTGTCATTGAACTGCTATAACTAATATCCAACATTTTTAAAAATGCAGTACAAAGTCCTAGAACCAGAACTGTCATGACAAAAGTGATATCTTCTGATTTTAAAATCATACCATCGATTTTCACTGTTTCATTGATTAGTTGACGGTGGAGGTATTGTCATTGCAATGTATGACTTGATTTAACATTTCTTCACATTATCCATTAATTTAAAAATTTTGCCTTTTCTTGTGATACTGAAAAACCTTCAGATTCATAAACATGAAACTTGGTTGCTAACTAGAAATTACACCAAGCATTTTTAAAAATATCTGGAGACCTGTCATTTCAAGACTATTTCAAGAATTCTTGGATGGTCTTATTTCAACATTGGCTTCTAAAAAACTATTTGACATCTGCATTTCAGTGTGCACAAATTTCCGATATCCATAGGGCTGATTGAAGGATGCACAGTTTTGGGGAAAGAGTAAAACAGACACATTATGATTTACTAAAACAGTAATTTTGATAAGATTGTTAATAATAGACAGAACAACATAATAAGCCACTTTATATAAAAAAGTTGAAGGAAAAGTGCAATTTTCTGTA